CAGAAGATTGATTCATTTTTCAAGAAGCAAGGCTTTCAGAAATGTGAGATAGAGTACGGTGTCTATGTTCAGCATACTTCTGAAGGCAATATGACTCTGGTATGTTTATATGTTAATGATATACTATTGACTGGAAGTTCTGAACAGGAGATAGCCAAGTTCAAAAAAGTTCTGATGAATGAATTTGAAATGACTGATCTAGGCAAAATGACATACTTTCTAGGGATGAAGTTCAGATATTCTGAGAAAGGTATCATTTTGCATCAGCTCAAGTATGAATTAGAACTTCTGAAGAGATTTGAACTAAAGAATTGTAAGATTGCTGTCACACCTTCAGATACAAATCAGAAACTGGATTCTGACTCTGATGAAAAGGATGTGGATGCTACAACCTTCAAACAGTTGGTTGGTTCTCTGAGGTATCTGTGCAATACCAGACCTGATATTTTCTATTCTGTTGGGATGATTAGTAGGTTCATGAGTAAACCTAAGTGGTCCCATTACCAAGCTGCTGTCAGGATTCTGAGGTATATCAAGGGAACTCTGAAGTATGGAGTGTTATTTTCTTCTGGAAGAAAGGATGAGTCAGAACTTCTGAGTTATTCAGATTTTGATTGGTGTGGAGACAGAGTTGACAGAAGAAGTACCTCTGGGTACTTGTTCAAATTTCTGGGAGGTCCCATTTCTTGGTGTTCCAAGAAACAACCTGTTGTGGCGTTATCAACCTGTGAAGCTGAATACATTGCAGGTGCTGTTACTGCATGCCAAGCTGTGTGGATTCTGAATCTGTTGCAGGATCAGAAGATTAAAATAAACAAACCTCTGAAGTTGATGATTGACAACAAGTCTGCAATCAATCTTGCTAGAAACCCAGTGTTGCATGGGAGAAGCAAGCATATTGAGACCAAGTATCACTTTCTGAGACATCAAGTTCAGAGTGGAGTGTTAGAAGTTGTACACTGCAGCACTCAGAAACAGTTGGCAGATGTTCTGACGAAAGTTATCAAGACGGATCAATTTCTCAGACTAAGGGATGGAATTGGTGTTACAAGTTTTAATGGAATATGAATTAAGAGATGGTATTAGAAGTAATTCATATTTATTAGTTGTACTATTTTCTTAGCCCCTAAGTTTGTTAGAGGGTATTTTAGTATTTTTATCTTATTCTAGTAACTCTAGTATTAGCTTATAAATAGGGTAACAATCATTGCAATTTTGTAGCAGTGTGTAGCCGCCATTCTCTTAATAGAATATTTCTCTATTCATCATTTATTCTACCTTTGCACCAACACAAATCACTTAGTTTTATAAAGAAAGAGAGAATCTAAAGCTATATATAAGATTTAAGCTCAAATACACTTAACTTAATAAAAAAATTATGTATGAGTTAAATAGATAGTGCGAAATAAATTGTTCATACTTATATATCAACCACTATCTTATAAATGCGTGAGCTAAACTTAATTTGCCTACAAATCCATAGTCTAAATTGGTGATTCAGCATTAGAATCCGTATCTTATAATAGCATAGGTTTTATGAAAATTGTTTTGTTAATTTAGGTTCTTATTTTTTTAAAAATAAAAAAATAAAACAAGAGATTGCATTTTTACAAATTAAAAGAGTACTAGGCGATGTTGGCGCCATCCAAGCCACGTGGATAATGAGTTTTGGTAAATTCAATCCAATTCTTAATTTCTCCTTCTTTCACATCATGTCTTCTCAGCACCTTAGATCTCTATGATTTGTTACTCTTTTTTTTCTTGACAAAATTTATCAGTTAATTTCTCTCTGATTGTTCACTCATATTCTATATCTTATCATGTTTTCATTGTTTTTATGAAAACAACATGAAGAGGGCTATGTCGGTACGTTGTAAAAGTTTCTTGATTGCTAAGTTACATTCATTCTATTTGTATTTAATTGTATGTTTCTTGATTACTAAGTTACCTTCATTCTATGTTGTATTTGATTGTAAGTATTGTATTCATATAGCATATTCTCTCTATAAAGAAATCGAAAGCTCTATTCGTTACTATAAATTTTCGTATATAAAAATTTAATGTATGTTATTAAGAAATGAAGATTATTTATTATATTAACGCACATGATAGTTCTTTAATATAGTCAATGGTATCATTGTGCAGGTGGGATCATTAGAGGGAAGAGGGGTGATAGAACTCGAAAACGCGACTCTACTAAGTCCTTCTTTATATCCTAGAAAAGATGCATCCTTAGAAGAAGATTCACCAATTGATCATGAGTGTGAGAAATTTTCACAAAATGTAATAAGAAGTAAAGTGCTTAGCAGCATTAAAGTTGTAGTTCTCTCAACCAAGATAAACTTGCTTATGCCTTTTGGTCCTATGGCTATTTTGGTAGATAGATTGTTTCATAGTCATGTAAGTTTCTGTATTCGTTTGATTGCTAAATACCGGTTCGGTTGTAAATCATGCAACTTTTGATTCTTCAAATGTGTTTCAGGGTTGGGTTTTTGTTTTCAGCTTATTAGGTATTATACCTTTGGCAGAGCGTTTGGGCTATACAACCGAGTAAGTTATTCCGCGTTTTCATTGTTTTTTGGTAGTATGCTCTAATAGGAACAATTATGCGATGTTTCACACAACATGCTCAAATGGAATTTGATGGACACTTTGTTTAAGAAATTGATTGTAATGGAAATTTTCGACTGTCTTTGATGCAGGCAGCTAGCCCTCTTTACTGGACCAGCAGGTAACTTAAGCTTTCCCTTTTTCGTTTACCTCGTCGCAATTTGAGTTTTTGCCAATACTTTGCAGTTGGTGGTTTATTATACGCCACATTTGGAAACGCAACGGAGTTAATTATATCAATTCACGCCCTCAAAAGTGGTTTGATTCGTCTTGTTCAACAATCACTACTAGGCTCAATTCTGTCTAACCTGTTGCTAGTACTTGGATGTGCATTATTTGCTGGTGGATTAGTATTTCATAAGAAAGAACAAGTATTTAACCATGTAAAGTTTTGTTCTACTAAAACAAATCTCCATTTCTCCGAGTTTATTTTCTCATATAGTAGAATTTGACGTTAACTGATCATCAGGCAGATACTAGTGTGGATTTTGGATTGTTATTGATGGCGGTGATGGGACTGTTATTTCCAGCAGTTCTCCATGCTACACAGACAGAATTAGAATATGGAAAGTCTCAGCTATATCTTTCGAGATTTACTAGTTGCATTATGCTTGTGGCATATACTTCATATATAGTGTTTCAATTGAAGAGTCAGAAGAATTTGGAACTTCCCGTTTACGAGGTTAAGCCTTAATAGCTCCCTTTTTCTTAATGGACTAATGAGAATTGTACTCAGATTAATTTTGATCTATAACTGTTATTATTGATTTTTAGGACAAGAGTTTTGATGAAGATACTTCAAATAATGATGAAGCGCCTGATATTTCAATGTGGGAATCAATGATATGGATTGCAATCTTAACCGGAGGTATATCTATATTGTCAGAATACTTGGTTAAAACCATAGAGGTAACAAGCATGTTCATTGTTTACTTTTTCCTTTATATTATTTGTGTTTTTATGGCCTAAGTTATTGTTGTAAGACAAATATTTTCAGGGGGCATCAAAAGAGTTTCAAATGCCTGTATCATTTCTTAGTGTTATTCTTCTTCCAATAGTAGGCAATGCTGCAGAACATGTTGGATCTGTTATTTTTGCTGTCAAAGACAAACTTGTAATTATTATCTATAACTATTGCTTTCAAAGACAAATTTGCATGAGGCAGAATAATATTAATGATAAATGAAGATGAGCAAGAGTGTAATTTTCCTTTACATTTAACCGTCTCTGTAGGACATATCGCTGGCCGTGGCTGTAGGATCTTCAATACAAATATCAATGTTTGCGGTAACATTGTAGTTCTGTATTTTTGGTTTTTCCATTGTTTTGTTATAGTTTTTCTTGGTCTCCTTGCACACTAGTGTTTAGTCTATTTTATTGTATATCCATGGTTATTACCGCACTCGCTGCAGATTCCATTTTGCGTCGTTGTTGGATGGATGATTGGATGCCCTATGGACTTAAATTTTCAGCCTTTTGAAACAATTTCTCTTTTTATGTCAGTTATCATAGTTGCCTTCATGTTGAAAGTAAGTCAATTTCTGAGCTAAGTTCCTTCTCCTTAATTTGTTAAGTATACTTAAAATGAAATTGTGATTTTTTTTAATCTTTACTTGAACTTTGTTTCAAAATGCAGAATGGAGCTTCAAACTACTTCAAAGGAATAGTGCTCATTCTTTGCTATTTGATAGTTTCTGCAAGTTTTTTTGAACATATTGATCCAATGTCAGTTGGTGAGTTATGATATCCTTCCTCCATCTTAAGTAGAACATGAGATGTGAATTATATAAATTCATAGTGTTCTATTACTCAATCTAAATATGATATATTTTTCCTTTCAGAAGATAATCCCCCAACTGCTGGTCAGTAACAGTTAGTGACATTAAAGAACTCTCAAGTCCAAGGGCTAAAGTGGGGAATATGATCTGTATATCTATCAGACGAAATTATATCGCAAAAAATTAGGAAGTTCTTGTATATTTTTACAGCTTACTTATTTTAAATAAGTATCACTTCCAACACTGGACATCAAATTCACCTGTTGGTCATGACTTTGCAATTTCACTAGACGGTTGTTATGGTTGGATAAAAAAATTGTAGTTTTAGTGTTATAGTTTTGGTTTAACTTATTTTGCTCATATTGAAAGTTTATGCAATACACCCTCAGGCAAGTTATAAATGTTTGCGATACAAGAAACTAACCGATAGCTATTCAGGCATATATGGAATAAGAAGATTAGGCACCTGATAATTGTAATTTAACTCCATATAGGCAATTTACTGCTAATCATCTGTAAGCTCTTCCAAACATGGAAGAAGATTCAATACAGCATTTGGTAAACAAAAACATTAAGGAACAAGAATAAGGTGTCACAGGTTAAGTGATAGAACTACTTAAGAACGACTGCTGCATTCCTCAGAGAAAGGTATCTTTGCACATAATCATTAGGAAGTGATCTGATCGTCTTGAAAACATCAGTATTTGCATACCGGAGATTAGTCTTAGGATCATAGTAAGGTGCCTGCAAGGTAAATTGATTAGTTAATTCTCTAGTACAAATGCTTATCATTGCCATTAACATTTTTTAAATAATTTAGTAAATCGACATGCTTCACACAAGGCAATATAACATCCATAGAGAAATTTTAGTCGTCTGATGCTTAAAGGGCATCACCACGATGACATCTAAAAAAACCAGTTTGAAGTTAAACAATTACAAAGAAGAGTAAAAAAGATTATTACATACCTCATAGCCAGTAATATCGCAAATTCTCTTGCAGGGATGCATGGGAGGGGGTGACTCAATATTGACATCTGCAATGAAAATCAGCAGATTGGAGTCTCCGACATTGAAACTAAACAACTCAAATTCTTTAAATTGTTGCTTTTACATTACAAATGAAAGAATAAAGGTTATTAAAGAGATAAAAAGTACAATTAGAGGGAGAGAACATATCCACCAAAAGTGAAAATAACAAAACTAAGAATATAAACTCACAATTGGGTTCATGAGGAGGGTAATTCTGGTAATTCTCAGCCTGAATAATCTGCTTAAGATGTTTCCAGTGCCTGCCTCTGGATTGGCCTTTAGGGTATTTATCATACATTTGAACCCTCTTAAAACTGAGATAGTTTGGCAACACTAACTCTGCATCCAACACCTCTGTCTCCATCTTCTTACCCTTCACCAAACCAATATTTCGTAAATTCATAAAAACACAAATTCAGCTCCAGAACAGCAAAGGAACAAAATCGTAAAGCAGAAGGTTCAAAAGACAAACCTACTTGTGCGAATGTGAAGGGCGTGACTAGCGGGCGTCAGATTGACGAACTCAGAAGCAAAGAAATATCCAACGAAGGAGAGGAAATTAAGTTTTCTGATTCGATTTTATGGAAAAAATCAAAGAGAAAAAGTAATCGAATTTTGTTCATTCGTGAAACGGGGTTTTTAAATAACCGAACCGGTTCTATGGTATTTAAAAATTAATTGTAAAATCCACCTATCTTATTACATTATTTATTTGCTTTTAAAATGTATTTAGTAAGGATAACTTTACTTTGTGTCTTAAAAATAAATATATTAAAAAATTATTGAAAATTGTGTATTAAATATAAAATTAATAATTTTATTGTTTTTTTAATATAAATTTTTTAACTTGTGCCTAGGTAATGTTTTGCTGAAAGCATTAAATAATAATTTTTTCTCTCTTATTTTTTATTAATGTCATTTATAATTGAATCTGAAACAAAAACAATCATGATAATTATGAATACATGCAGAGCAACATAACCAAAACCGGACTAATAATAAAAAAGCTGTCCATCTCTGCATATTCGAAGTTTAAATCTTTTAACTTTCTTCGTTGGACTGTACATCATCTTTATTAATTTTTCTTTTTCAAATCTAAACAACCACACAAAAAACCAGATCTTTAAAAACCACTAGTACTACTATTGAAACTTTTAAATTAGATTAAAATTGTTCATCACTCATAACTTATGTGCTTTGAGGTGGCATGACATTGACTCAAATTACATTAACAATCTTTCATCTTTTATTCTTTGTATGGTTCATTTTCATATCTTCTTCACCATTTTAATCGATTTTTCTTTAAAAAAACTTAGATTTAGACTTAATCCATTGGTTTACAGTTGCATTTTCATCTTTTCACAAAATTTAAAAATAAAAAATTTTGTTCCACTTTGTATACCAAAAACTCAATTTCGTTCAAACCTAAAAAACAATGGTTTCTTGAGTGAGGAAGAATTTATTTATCGCAATTGTATGTAGTGTGCATGGAGTATGATGACAATGAATTATAGGAATGTGCGTATTGTTCAGAAGTTGACATAAATTTGTAACTGAAAGTTTTGTTGCATGTATTTCGGATTCAGAGTTTCATTGGAGGTTGGGTTCTAAAGTCAATTGTTGCATACTAGATTTATTGTTGTGATAGTTTTTCATATTTATTTTTTTTAAGAGAAAATTTATGAAGATGAAGAACAACATGTGTGTGACAGAGATGAAATATTAATAAAATATATAGTTTTTTTTGTTTGATTTTAAATTAAAAAAATTTTAAAAAATCCAGCAGGTTAAAATGGCTAGTTGGCGGTAAAAGACAAACGGCTTCACGGTGAAAAATTATTTATCCTTCCCACCTTAAATGCCACCAATTCAATAGTGTATACCATATGTATAAAAGATATGATCTTCATCCATTCCTCTTCGTTTATTTGGTTGCATATACTTTGTTTATGACCTCAGTCTAGGTAAAAATAATTTATTTGTCAAATCTTTTAAATGTATTTTTTTAGGCTACTCAATTATACAAAAAGAATATAATTGTTTCTATCCCCAACTTCAATGATAGATTGTTTTCTCTAATGTCACTTTCTTTGAAACTTTCCTATTTTTCTATGTCTACGTGTCACCTGATGAGAATAGTACTTCAAATGTTCGAGATATCCCTTATATAATCCCCACACTCACTGCACTCCCTACACATTCATTATGTGCCTACTACATACAAACCCTACATTGGAAGTAATAAATGATATTCATCTGTAGTGTTATATTTGTAAGGGTCCTAAACAAGGGCAGTTCAGGTGTCCTCGCCTAAGATTGATGTCGCATACGCAATATCTTCATAGAGCGTCGAGACTCTCCCTTGGCACTGATGACATGTATAATGTTGTTTGTTAGTGGGAAGGAATACATATCGACTCCCTGCATAATAAGTGGTTAACAACTCCCCTGGTCACAAGGGAGCGGTTGACACCCCTAAGGGTTTCCGAAACCATATGCCCGAAAGAGCCTATATAAATACCTCCCGCCTAGGGGGGAGACAGATCTTAACTCATATAGATCATACCATACATTATATTATAACAAAAGTATCAAGCTATATATACAGGACCTCTCACCTAACGTGAGCAGATCCTTTAAACCATCACTACACGCCATCATACATGGTTTCTCACCGCCATCATACAGGACTCTTGATTAAGATTTTAACTGCTCAAGCACATAGCAAGAGACTTATGTGGCTCAAGCATCTTGGATCAAGACTTCCTTGCTTGTATCCCAATGATACAAGACTTTCGCTCAATCAATCCACTTGATTAAGAATTTCACAGCTCAAGTACATAGCAAGAGACTTATGTGGCTCAAGCATCTTGGCTTAAGACTTTCTTACTTGTATCCCAATGCCACAAGACTTTTATTTAAACTACTGAACAAGTTCAGTATAATAGAGAACAAAGTGTACATGATACACATATCAGAGGTATGGGAAATCACTATAACAAAGACCTAAAGCTCTTAAGATTTCTGAGATATACAATGTGTAAGAAATCTTAAGGCTTTTACAACTACAACCTACATCAGAAAAATCTACATATACATTAAGTAGATAATTGTTGATCTTGTTACTCCTTCTTTCTAGTTAATATTTGTTAAAGATTCAGTTTGAACCTTCATCCATATTTATAACCTTTTTAGAAATTATTCGTTGAAGAGGTAGCTTGATCAAGAGTATTTGTTGTTACTTTATAATACAAAAGTCGTTCAAGATAGATACACCAGAAGATCTTGATCCAATGTGTAACATGTTTAACCTTTGAGTCTTCAAGAGATTATGTACTAATAGAGACGTTGAGAGTAGATATCCATAAAGCTTCTAAGCTTTTCTTGAGCCTCGTAATCTGTAGACTCTAACTGACAAACTGATTTGACAATACAACTTATTTTCTGCAGTACGGACAACTTCAACTTTATCACCAACTATGTATGGTACTAGAGGAAAATTTACATTCATTAAGTGTAGAGACAATTATGTTGCTTCTTCTGATGCTGAAACTTTTAGCTTCAGAGTTTACGTCAGACATCACTTAGCAAGTGTTCTTCAAATTTTGCCATCAGAAGCTAGCAATTCAGCAACTCTTAAAGCATGCTTAATGTATAACATTCTGACCATAATATTTACAAGTATTAGAACCTACACACATGTAACAAACAATTAAACCATTGTTCTTTCAATACTTTGCTATCATCAAAACCTAAGGAAAATATGTCATGAACAAATCTTGTTCTAACAAAATGTGGTTATACATGTAGTGTATGAAGGTGCAAGAAACACAAGAAATTGGGTGTTTGAATTGGGTTTCTGGATTTAAAACATTTTGTAACCCAATACCTCACACATTAAATATAAAGATAAGAACACAAGTATTTTTTATCCTGGTTCATTATTGACAAAGCTACTCCCAGTCCACCCGCCTGAGTGATTTTGCCTTCTAAAAAAGGACTTAATCCAACAATTAATCTGATTACAACAACCTTAAAGACACATAGTCTAAGACTTCTTGAGAAATTGTGACTATACCCTAGTATCTTAAGGAAAACAACTCAAAGACTAACTTTCAATGAATCCTTGAGAATTCTGACTAAACTTAATCTCTTAAGAAAATTAACAACAGTTAATAAAGTTGATTGTGTTTACAATAGTGCTTCTTAACAAGCAGATTACACACACTGAAATTTAGCTTTTACACTTGAGAATATTTGAAATAAAAATCAAAGAGTTTCTTAAATCTTCTTCTTTATTGATGATGATTTTCTTTTAATGAATTTTCTTCATCATGAAATATCTGCGCAAGAGCTTTTCTTTTAATCGTCAATCCTATCTACTTTAATATAAGTCTTTTAACCTTTTTATATAGGAAGAAATAGATCGGTTGGAGGATAGGATTAAAGATTCCTTTGAGGTACACTATTGCTATATAGTAGGTAGGTTCTGCAATAAATATTGGTTGGTAGTGTCGCTACCGCGAAAATAAGATGCCGGCAAAATAGAAGAGTTGCTACCTTTCGTTATTTATCCCTCAAAACGGGAAAGGAAACGATCGGAAAAACCTGACGAAAAGGTATAAGACAAGGTCATCGCAACCATTGTCTGGGTTTGGGAGTCGGTTACGCAAGGGGAAGGTATTAGCACCCCTCACGTCCATCGTACTCGATGGGGTCCACGCTTGTTGGTTTGTCTATGGGTGAAAAACAATCTAGCTACGGCTTCTAAGGCTAAACGGAAAGAACTGACTCGATAGAGCATCACGCTCTATGCCTACGTATTCCCTCGTGCAATGGGAAAGTCAGAGTCAACGTAGTTCGGGAAACTACAGGGGGAATTTGCTCGCCGAGATATCGCATCTCGTGCCTACGTACTTTCACACGGCGTGAAAGATCAGAGCTAACGTAGTTCGGGCTAACTACGGGTAACCGGGGTGTTCTCGATCACGCGGGGGTGAGAGAAAGGATTGACGATACTAGCGTGCACATTCTAACAGTTAGGTGTATGCTGCTCGACCATTGGAGACTTAGGCGTTACCTGTTTGCGGTGGAACGGACGTAGTATGTCGTTGGTTTAAAGGTACGAAGAACCTGCGGGAACTAGAACTACGGTCTGGTCTCATTTGCCCTAGGGCAAGAGAAAGGGAACATCAGTCGTTAGCGAGAAAGTCTCGATCGCACGGCTGCGAGAGAACAAAGAAGTTAATTGTTAGTGTGCTCGCTAGGATATCGCATCCTATGCCTACATATTCTCGTCTGGTACGAGAAATCAGAGCAGCTGTAGTTCAGCGAACTACAGGAAAGGGGAGAAGGGGAGCTCTC